AGAGAGAGAGAGAGAGAGAGAGAGAGAGAGAGAGAGAGAGAGAGAGAGAGAGAGAGAGTATCCGACAGAGAGACAGACAGACAGACAGACAGACAGACACGACGACAAAGAGACAGAGAGGGAAAGAGAGAGAGAGATGGACTTAAAGAGAAAGAGAGAGAGAAAGAGAGGGAGATTAAGTGGCTGTTTTAGGAAATGACACATATGGAAGAAACCAGGTAATACCAAGGCACCACAATAATAAAAAGTAAAGACTGTGATGGTGTGCACACATGTTCAAGATCAACATGCATTTAAGCAAATGGGAAAACTGTGTGTAGAAAAATCACCAGTGAGGTCTGCAATCGAACCACAAAATGACCAAGCGGTCAATCATTGCACTCGTCAAACATGAGAGTGATGAGCCAAACATGCATAATGCAGAATGGACTTGGCCTCGCATGTAGAACAGGATGACTGCATGGTAGTAACTGAGAAGAGAGTCCAGGGAAAAAGTAAAAGGACTGCATTTCACATGGAGCATTCAATGTCGTGAGGTAATTATCAATGCCACCACTTCGAAACCACAAAAAATGGCACAAACCAAGTCGAAAAAAGTTCACAAAACTTCTACAGAAAACAATACTCCTTTGAACACCACCTCACAAAAACAATATGTACAATATGACACAATGAAAATCATAACGGGAGCACAAAATTCCTCTAGATAGTCACAGGCAGAAGCGTTCTCCTTCCCAGCAGATTCTCGCCAATCGCTGGCCATGATCTCGATGGTGCCCTCCTGCTTGAAAAGAGTGTCTTTGTGTTCCTCCCGTGCTTCCTCTGCAGCTTCCTGTGCTGCTTTTTCGTCAGCCTACCACTGTTCCTCAGCCAGGCGACGCTGTTCCTCTAACTCCTCCCTCTGCTCACGAGCCGCAATGGCCGCCTCTGCCCTCTTCTTCACCTCGGCCATCATATCAGCCAGACGGGCCTCATATGTCGCGTCAGATTTGCCCTACTTGCGCTCCATTGCCTTGGTCACGTACGGGAGGATGGTGGACATGCACTGCGTGTTGACATGGCACTACACCTTGGCTGACGTGGTACTGGACCCTGGCTGACATGGCACGGAACACCTGCTGCCGTGTCACTGGCATGGCCTGACAAAGTGCCAACTCACCAATGCCGCAGCAGACGAAGAAGAGAGGATGGAGGAAGAAGAAGAAAAAAGAAAATGCACACCATATGCAGATGGGGAAGGGTGGTGGTACCCTGACTTCAAGTCTATCTTCGTAAAGTACTCGCAACCCTACACCCGATCTAAGAGATCGTCTATACGGGGTAGCGGTTTTGCATTCTTTACAGTTATGGCGTTCAGACTTCTATAGTCTATACACATTCGTAGCTCTCCCCCTTTCTTCGGGACGAATAGAACAGTTGCGCCAAAAGGAGATGAACTGCGCCTGATCCATCCTTTCTGCCAGGTTCTACCTCGATACGGTGCTGGATAGGTCTCGGTACTGCTCCTGAAGGTGCCTCGCTGGATAGGTCTGCAGGGACCCCGGTCACAAAATTAAGTTCTGCCCAAAGTATAGGGACCACGCTGCTTCTGGGGCAGCAAAAGGCAACAGCCGGTAGGGGTTGCAACTGCCCCTACCCTAGGAGTACGTGGAGTCAAGCGTGCGCGCAAGATAGAGACTCCCACTCCACGTATCTCCATGGCAGAGGGTGCTGGCCAGCGTCTAGTACGCTATCCAAAGACTGCTTGTGTTAAGAGTCTCTCCAGACGCTTCCCTCACAGGCCGAAGAGTTGAAGGAGAGAAGGCAAGCCTGGGCCAAGATGAAGAAAGATGGGAAAGGGCAGCTCATTCTCGCAGATATAGAGATTTTTAGAGCTAGAGTAGGGGCCCTTATAAACGGTGGCGCCACCAGGAGCTACATTAGTCGTAAAGCACTGCAAAAGTTAAAGCTCAGTCTTAAGTCCAACAGTCGAAAGCCGCTGTAGTTAGTATCCTAGCAGACAACCGCACGGTGCAGGTTGAGGAATATGTCGAGGGAGTCCAGGCATACTTTCGCCTAGAAAAGGAAGGGAAAGTAGAAAAAGTCCTCCACTCCTTTACTCTTCTCGTCAAAGAAGATCTCATGTTCGATGTAGTTTTGGGCACAGACTGGGGGGAGGCAGCAGGGGCCACTTTGCACCTTCGAGAGCACGAGTGCAAGCTCCCCAGTCCGACAGGCGGAGTCAAAATAGCCCGCCTATATCACGTGTTGAGAATAGACAATTCCCTAGCACATTGCTGCCTCAGCGCTCCTGCATTCGCTATATCACGTGTTCGTCACCTATGTCAAGCCAGTTACGGACACACCAAAGGAGGAAAAGAAAATCCATCCCACTATTGCCAGCCTACTGGAAGAATACAAAGACTTATTTGAGGCACCTTCAGGAGTCGTACCAAGACCTATCCAGCACCGTTTGGAGATAGAACCTAGCAGTAGAACGCCTAAGGGGGCAATCTACAGAATGCCCCCTAAAGAGCTAGAGGAGCTTCGCAAGCAATTAGACGAACTCCTCGAGAAAGGATGGATCAGGCCCAGTTCATCTCCTTTTGGCGCACCTGTTCTGTTCGTCTCGAAAGAAAGGGCGAGAGCTACGAATGTGTATAGACTACAGGAGTCTGAACGCCATAGTTGTAAAGAATGCTGAACCTCTGCCCCGTATAGATGATCTCTTAGATCGGCTGCAGGGTTGCGAGTACTTTACCAAAATAGACTTGAAGTAAGGGTATCATCAAATAAAAGTGCACCCTGACGATCAACACAAGACGGCGTTCCGAACGAGATACGGGCATTACGAGTTCACATTGATACCCTTTGGACTTACTAACGCCCCAACCATGTTTCAGCGTTGTATGAACGATCTGTTTAGGTCGTGGCTAGACCGATTTGTCGTAGTCTACTTAGATGATATATTAGTACTCAGCAAGACCCTCGAGGAACACGAGGGCCATCTGAGGCAGATCTTGGAGAAGCTACGAGAGGCTAACTTCAAGATCAACGTGAAAAAGTGTGAATGGGCCAAGACAGAAATCCTTTACTTGGGCGACGTGTCAGATGGAGACGGTATCCGCCATGAGGACAATAAGATAGAATCTATTTGACACTGGCCAACTCCTCGCACCCTACCAGAGTTGCAATCGTTTTTAGGATTGGCCAACTATTATAGAAAGTTTGTTAGGAACTTTTTCACTATCGTTGCTCCCCATTGCAGACTGCTAAAGAAAGAAGCGATTTGTGAAGTGGGACCAAGATTGCAACTCGACCTTAAAGAAATTAAAGAAGGCCTTGATAGAGTACCCTGTCCTCAAAGTCGCTGACCCGTCACTGCCATTCGTTGTCACTACAGATGCTAATCAATATGGCATAGGCGTCGTTTTACAGCAAGATGACGGTAATGGCTATAGAACTGTAGAGTTCATGTCAGCCAGGCTGCCTCAGCATCGGCGTACGAGAGAGAACTCTGCACTCTCAGGCAGGCCCTAGATCACTGGAGGCACTACCTGCTTGGAGGCACTTCAAAGTATACTCGAACCACGAGACGTTAAGGTGGCTGAAGACAGAAGCCAAGATGACGCCCAAGTTAACTACACGGGCTGATGAGATAGATCAGTTTGACTCGAGCTGAAGCCCGTTAAAGGAAAGTACAACATGGTAGCCAATGCTTTGAGTAGAAGGGCAGATTACTTCGGCGCGATAGTACACTATCTAGACATAGGGACAGATCTGCAGCAAAAGATAACGGATGCGTATGTCCAAGATCCAATTTATAGAGTCCTACTAAAGCGAGTAAGCGAGACTCCTGATAGTGAGCCAAACTATCGAGCCATGAACGGGCTACTGTTTGAGAAGACCAACGTCGTTGATAGACTTTGCATCCCCAACAATGAAGAGATTTGTAGCCTAATCTTAGGGGAATGCCATGATACAGAAGGGCACTTCGGTTGGCAAAAGATGCTGGCCAACCTCAT